CCGGTCTCTGGGGTCGCTCTGGGAGCGCAGCGGCTGCCATGGAAACACCCGGCGGCGCCGCGGGGGCGTTGCCATGGCAACGGGGCCTGCGGGCCTGGGGCACCCACGGGGCCTGCGGGGACACCGTGGGGTCAGGGGGACAGCGTGGTGGCAGGGCTGAGGAGACGCCAGGGTGGCAGAGTTCGCGACGCCGCATCCCTAGAGCCCAAAGTGACACCGCCGTGGTAGGCCCGAGGTAACACCACAGGCATAGCCTGGCACCATGGTGGCTCGGGTTTGGGTGCAAGCAAGACTCTGACGGGGCCCGGAGACAAAGGGACCCCTGAGGGGACATCGCAATGAGAACAGGCAGCACCAGGCATGGGCACGGAAGTGGCAGCATCTTTACTGCCGAGCGCAGGCGGAGCAGCGTGAGGCCACTGCAGGGACAGTGAGGGGATGTGCCCTGTCCTGGGGCCTGCGCCTGCCCCGCTGCCAGGATGGCCCCGGGATCGCTCCCAATGCTGGATCCCGGGAATAGTCACTGGTGGCACCACGGCGGCAGGAGCTCAGTGGGGGCCTGTGGTGTGTCACAGCGCTTGTGCCATTGTCCAGCTGATGCCTTCCCGTGGTAGCACAGCGGCCATTTCCTGCTTCAGGTGCCCTGGGAAGGGCCACTCCAGAGTCGGCTCCGGGCACCTCTCCTGCGATGGCATGGGGGACATTCCCTGCTCCAGCTGCCCTGGGAAAGGTGGCACTGGAGCTGGCTTTGGGCTTCTCTCCCGCACTGCCACCTCCACTCTGGACACCAGGAAGAACTGGATGCCTGCGGGTCCCAGCCTGGGAGGCACAGGAGAGGGGTCAGACCCACTTGAGGTGTGTGGGACAGCACTGGGGACAAGTCTCCCTGCAGGACTGTCCCCTCCGGGCCTGGACGAACTGTGGTGGCTCCAGGCTCACCGGGAAGCTGGTGAGGCTCCGGTTTGTTCGGCGCAGGGAATTCCTTGCTCTCTGTCTCTGCAACCGCTTCCTCCTGCATGGCTCCATCTGTGCTGGGTGGTAAAGTGGCACTGGGACATCTGCACCCTCTGTCACCTTGTTCCACCCTGGCTCTGCATCCCTCCCACCTCAAAATCAGTGGCACATGGGAACTCACTGGCCAGTCGGGGCTGTGGAAGTCACCTGGGATCCCATCGGACACAGAACTGTCAGAGCCACTGGTGCTGCAGGGGGGAAGAGCCATCTGCAGCCCCCAGTGGCACCTCAGGGTGACATGGGGTGACAGGGGTTGACATACCTGGACTCAAGCTCTGAGGGGGACACATCGCTCCAGCTGCCTCCAGAGCCCAGCTCACGACCCATCTGCTGCTGCAGGAGTGCATCTGCCTCCACCAGGCACTGCTGGAACTGCAGGACAGCGCCGGTGTCCCGGTGTCACCGTGGTCCCATGGCACCGGGGCACCCTGGGCCAGGTCCAAGCCCACCTTGGCGGGTGCAGGGTCGCAGAAGTCAAGCAGGGTGTCACAGAGGAGACGGCCCAGTGACCCGAGGTCCTCCACGCTGAAGTGTGAGCTCCTCCTGCCTGGAGGGGACAGGGAAAAGGAAACAAGGGCAGCTCCCCAACCCAGGACTGCCCCCCTGGCACCGTCCCCATGGCTGTGGCAGCCTCTCACCCAGCGTGGAGCCACTGAAAGCCACCTCTAGGGTGTAGCTGTGGGAGACACCCAGGCGCCACATGGAGACCCGGCCTGTCCCCTCTCTGCTCTTCTGCACCTGGAACTTGCAGCTGGAGAAAGAGAACTGGAGGGCCCCCGGGTCAGAGGGGTCCCAACCCCAGAGGGACAGCTCGGGAAGCAGCATGGTGGCCACATTCCCACTGTCAACACAACACGTGGCCCTGAGGGATCCGTGTCCCACCTTGTCAGGGGCGTTTTTGCTCAGCATCAGGGGGAACACGCGCTGGCGCAGCCGTGTCCCGGTGCCGTCCCCGCCGGCATCGCAGCCGTACATGAAGACGTTGTTCTTCCGGCTGTGCCCGTGGAAGTCGCAGTACAGCAGCACCTCCCGCTCTGCCAGCACCCTGCACGCATCAGGATATGGCCACCAGCACCGCCACAGGAATGGCCCTGTCCCACCGGCTCTTCACACCCCCCTCACCTCTGGACCATGGCCCGCAGGTGCCACACACCAGGGAAGGAGCCGGGAAGCGCCATCCCATAGGCCCTGTTGGGATCCCGTCCCGCCAAGGAGCAGCGGGAGTTGCCCACCACCACCCCGTCGGGGTTGAGCATCGGCACCACCTTGAAGACGAAGAGGCGGCGCAGGAGCCTCGCGTCCGCGTGGGCGCTCAGCAGGAAATCGAGGAATCCCCTCATGGCCCAGGAGCCACTGCTCTCTCCAGGGTGCACGCGGGCGCTCGCCACCACCACCCGCTTGCCGGCCGTGCCGCCTGGGCTGGTGATGGTCAGCAGGTACACGGTGTTGCCGGCCAGGCTGCGGCACAGCGCCTGCACCGCGCAGTACCGCGAGCGCGCCGGGTCGGCCGCCAGCGCGCGCAGGTAGCGCTGCAGGTCCGAGTAGGTGTAGGGGTAGCAGGAGGCGAAGAAGCACGTGTCGCCGTCGTGCGGGAAGCGCACCGTCCAGCTGAGCCGGAACATCGGCGGCTCCCCCGCACTGCCACGGTAGTAGCAGATGTCAGTCCCCACCCGGCGCCAGCCTATGCCATGGCTCTGAGCATCCTGCTGGGAGTAGAGCAGTGGCTGCAGGCCCTGGCCGTAGAGGCTCTTGGGCTTGGCCATATTGGCGATGGTGAAGCGGTAGAGCGGCTCCTGACGAGTGTTTTGGACACGGAAGTAGAACCACTGCGTGTGTTTGGCCGTGTACAGGTCCGGCCGCAGCGTCAGCACGTACTCGTAGGGACCCCTGTGTGGAGGGAAGGGTCACGCTCTGGATCCAGGCCTGACATGAAAGGCCCCATGCTCCCCGCTCTTTCTCTTACACCTTGATGGCCTTCTGGAGGTTCCCACTCTCAAAGCGGGACTCGAAGAGCAGCGTGGTGTCCTGGGGACCCTCCAAGGGGGCTGCTGGCGAGGAGAGTGGCCCCGGGGCACCCCCAACCCGAGCACGGGTAAAGCAGGAGCCTTGGGGCGCTGTGGGGAGAGCAGAGACAGTGGTGGGGGTCTGGGGAGAGCGGAGGCACTCAGGGGCGCTGCCCATGCTCTGTTACCTGGGCTGGAGTGGTAGACAACGGTGCCCTGCTCCTCACTGAGGGTGTACAGGGCCTGCTCCAGGCCCATGGGTGGGCAGAAGGGCTCCGGTTTAGGGGGGACCCACTCTGGGAGGCAGGGGGACACAAATGCCATATGCACAACAGGGTTCTGGCACAGGAGGCGGGGGGACAGCTGGAGCATTCTCTCACCGATGTGCTCAATCGTCTCCTGGATGACTTCACACTCCACAGGCCAGCGGGGAGCGGGGAGGGAGAATAGAGCCTGTGGTTTTCCTGGAAACCTCCAGGGCTGTGTTGAGGGGGCCAGCCTGCCCTGGCAGGGGGTCTGCTCCACCACCCCGGGGGCTGCAAGAGCACCAGGAAAGGCTGGGGGTCTCCAGTGGGGCTGGGGTAGTGGTATCCCCCAAAACCAAGGCAGGGGCAGGGAGAGGCCCTCCCATCACACTTGCTGTGCTGGGAGGACGCTGTGCTGGGGGACTGTGAAGGGCTGCAGGGTCTCACTCACGGTTTGGCTTGTGCCCAGGACCTCGCTGCCAGCCACGGCCAGTGTTGCCCATGGTGGATGTCTCTTCCCTGCCCGTCTTCTCATCTTGGGGAGAACAGCACTGCAGCAGGGGGCCAGAGGGGACACGGCCCAGGGACAGGAGGGGACACAACACAGCGGCCAGGGCTCACCTCGGAAGTAGCCATAGAAGCGCAGGTGGGTGCGGATGAAGCTGTCATAGGGTTTCAGGACCTGTCCCCCGCCAAACCCCCCCAGAGCCCCCTCCCCTCCCTGGGCAGCGCGGTGCCCTGTGGGCTCCATGGCTGTGAGAGCTCCAGGAGACCCAGAACAGCAGTGGCAGTGTCAGGGCTGGGCTGGCATGTGGTTGCTGAGCTACAGAGAGGAATGGGGCGGTCCTGGAGCAGAGCTGGGAAAGGAGCCAGAGGGATTTCAGAGTCATTAAGGTTGGAAAAGACCTCCAGGATCTTTGAGTCCAACCTGTGACCAATCCCCACCTTGTCACCCAGACGAGAGCACTGAGTGCCACGTCCAGTCATTCCTTGGACACTTCCAGGGCTGGGAACTCCATAACCTTCCCGAGCAGCCCATTCTGATGCCTGACACCATTTTCTATAAAGAAATTCCTCCTCATGTCCAACCTCAACTTCCCCTGGCAGAACTTGAGGCTGTTTTCTCTTGTCCTGTCCTTGTTCCCTGGCAGCAGAGCCTGACACACCCCCTGGCTGCACCCTCCTGTCAGGGTCTTGTGGAGGGCCAGAAGGTCCCCACTGATCCTCCTTTTCTCCAGGCTGAGACCCCCCAGCTCCTCCTGGTGCTCCAGACCCTTCCCCTGCATCTTTTTCTTCTTTGGAAAATCCCTCTCTTGCCACGAAGGCTCCAAATCTGTCCCCAGGGCTGGAAGTGGCCCAGCAGTGCCAGAACAGGGGACAGGCCTGTGGCCACACACCAATGCTGGAACAGCCCAGGTGCCATCTGCCTTTTGCCCACCTGGTCTCATGTTCAGCTGCTCTCACCAGCACCTCCAGGGCCTTTCCCAGCTTTCCAGCCTCTCTTCCCCCAGCCTAGAGCATTCCACAGGGTTTGTGTAACCCAAGTGCAGGACCTGGCACTTGGCCTTTACCCTCACACCTTTACCCTCAGCCCTTCAATTCAGCCTCTCCAGTTTCCTCTGCAGAGCCCTCCTGCCCTCCACAATTCACACCCACCCACCCAACTTGTAGTCGTGGATTCCAGGGGTCTGTTGTGCTCCCCATCCCCATCTACCACCCACCCCCAGCAGACTCAATGAGATGGCACTTCCCAAACTGCTACAATTTATTGGACAATGGTCAAAGGAACTGTACATCTGTAAAAAAAACAAAACAAAACAAAAAAAATCCAAGAGGTGGGCATGGCACTGCATGCCTCATGTGCTCGAGGCCGTTTTCCTCCGCTTCAGCCGTGAACGCCAGTCCTCTGGCAGCGCCTCGAAGTTGGCGTTTCTCTCGGCCATGCCACTGCAGGGATAAAGTGGGATGTCAGCACCCAGCTGGTCATCTCATGGATCCCCCACCTTTACAAGGGACATTTACAGATGTCCTGGTGCCAGCACCCAAAATCTGTACCTCATCAGCTGCTGCTGCTTCCACTCCTCGATGCGCCGCTGGGCTGTGGTCTCCCGGTCCTCCTCACTGGAGCTGGAATTCTCCTCCTCATCCAGCTCCCGCTGGATACTTTGCCACTTCTTCACCAGCGATGGCATCTTTGTCTTACCCTTCTTGCCCTGTGCCACAAAAATAACAGTGGTGAATATGGCTGGAAAGGGAGGAGGGAAGGAATGCTGCCGATGTGGGACCACCCATCCGGCCTACCTTGTCCTTGCGTCCCTTCCTTGGCTTCTCCTTCTCTGGAGGCAGCGGAGCCTTGGGGGTGGGCGGTGGGGGTGTCTGTG